TGATACTCATGAGGAAGTTAGGAGGAGATTAAATTCTGGAAATGCTTGCTACTTCTCAGTTCAAAATATTTTGTCTTCCCGTCTGATCTCTAAGAACCTGAAAATTAAAGTATACAAAACAATAATCCTGCCTGTTGTTTTGTATGGGTGCAAAACATAGTCTCTCACTCAGAGGGAGGAACATAGATTGCAGGTGTTTGAGAATAGGGTGTTGAGGATACTTGGGCCTAAGAGAGAAGACGATGGGGTATGGAGAAAACTGCATAATGATGAACTTAAAAATTTGTTCTCCTCCCCTAGTATTGTCAGGGTGATTTAAGTCAAGAAGAATGGGATGGGCAGGGCATGTAGCAAGCATCGATATGGCAAGAGGTGTGCACCGGGTATTGGTTGGGAAGTCTGAGGGGAGGAGACTGCTGGGGAGACCTAGATGTAGATGGGAGGATACTCTCAGGTGGGATCTATGGGAGATAGGAGTTGAAGGAGACTGGATTTTGTTGGCCGAGGACAGGGTCCGGTAGAGGGCATTGGTGAGTTCGGTGATGAACCTTTGGGTTCTGTAAGTCATCTAGTTAGTTAGTTATGTATTATACAGAATACATTTTAAAACATTTTGTAAAATGTTATCAAGTGTACATGCCTTATACATATAAGTGCACCAAATTTACTTTGTGCTAATGCTACAGAACAAAAAGAACCCAGTTTATCACCCAAATGTTCTTGGTAGCAAAATATACTACCTGTCTACACACAATCTTTTCTTCAAAATAGATTTCACAACACACAACAATATCTGTATCTCAGTCTACAAAAGTATATATCCTGGTAGATCATTATTTTTTTTTTTACAAAATTTGACAGACTCTTACATAATAAAACAAGTTATCTAAAAATTAGTAAAAATATGAGGCCTACTTAAAAATAGAGCATTATGACAGCATTATCATAAACAAGACAATACCCATGCATATGGTCTACCTATATGTTTATGCAGGTTGCATTAAAAAAGGCAAAACATTGTTTTAAGTTCAGAGTTGCGCATCAGCCATCTTGAATATAAAATATTTAAACATTTTTCATTTTAACTTCACCTAACTGATTGTCTTTTTTTTTTTACACAGTTTCAATATTAACTTCACAGATATTGTTCTTTCTTTCAAGCTAAGAATGCTTTATTTTTGAAGTTTTAATTCAGTTGAAATTATTTTATGTTAATGGGATATGGTCAGGTTCAAAGATAGAATTTAATTTTTAATGGTTGGAGCATGAACATCCATTCAGATTATACCAGAAGCAATTGTGGATTTTGTGGCTTATACAAGCAGATGCTAGATAATTTAAATATACCCTGCTCTCTGCAAAATAATGGCCTACCATATTGGAAAATAGGATGAGGTAAGAAATGAGTTTTTTTAAATAGACTTTGGCATTACAAGTTATTAGTGACAGAACCTGCTTGAATGTAAATAATGAAGGACATAAAATGTGAGGAATGTGAAAGCTGTGTAATCAAAACCTACATTTACATCTGTAAGTAGCGCAAGCAGTATTCCACAATGTTTTGAATATTTTCTATGACTTCATCATCGTATTGTGCCTATTTCTGCAATGGCCACATAACTGTCACATTAGGGCACTGTCAGGTAAAGATTTTAAATCCTCCCTACTTTCTTGCCATCAGTATTATGAGCAAATACTCCTAATTATGATCTTAAGTTTAATATCAAACAGACTTCCAGATCTATGGAAATAAGCCAACATTAATAATCTTAACACGTTCACTGCCAAATTCAATGTAAGTCAATTTATCAGTGAGTCATTAATAGTCCAAGTCCAAGCATGGTCCTTATACAGAGTTATTCATAATTCCCCGACACATTACAAAAAATTGCCAGACTTGAATGGTGCAAAGGATGGTAAAATGCGACGTGCTGATAGAAAGAGAAACTCTCCAAATTTCAGCGACAAAGCTACATTTCATGTTTATGAGAAGGTGAACAGACACAATGTGCGGGTATGGGGAAGTGAAAACCCACATGCCACAATTGAGCACATTCGGGATTCACGGAAACTGAACGTTTTCTGTTCCATATCCAGGGAGAAGGTGTACGGGCCATTCTTCCCCAAGGCAACCGTCACTGGCATGCCCTATCTTGAGATGATGCAGGAATGGCTAATGCTGCAGCTTCATGATCACAGCAATGCCTTCATTTATCAGCAAGATGGGGCTCTGCCACAGCTACCACAAACAGCATTTGCCACAACACTGGATTGGATGCATGGCTGCCAATGACCATGCGCTGCTTCGTTGGCCACCCCGATCACCTGAGGCCATGTGATTTTTTGTTATGGGGTACGTAAAGGACCAGGTCTTTGTACTGCCTCTGCCACAGGATCTGCCTGAGATGTGAAGATGAATTATGGCTGCCATCTCACAAATCGATCGTAACATGCTGCAGCGGGTATGGGCGGGAATGGATTATTGGCTTGATGTCTGCCGCATCACAAAGGGCGGACACATAGAACATTTATGAGGTATGTAAAATAAACTTGGAGAGTTTCTCTTTCTGTTGGCATGTCCTATATTACCATCCATTGCACCATTCAAGTCTATAGTGATTTTTTGTAATGTGTCAGGGAATTATGAATAATCCTGTATAAAGATACTAACAAAGATTAAATATGTAAATATGAATCAGTAATTTAAAAATATGAAAGTTTAACATGTACTGAGTTTCCAATTTCTGGATATCTATTATATAATATAATATAATATATATATATATATATATATCAAATGAATTATATTCTTAAAAATAAATTATAAAAACATTTTAATACATGAGATGAAAAAAAAGGAAGTTTCACTTCTGCTACTTCTGAAATATCATTTTGGTTATCAAAAATTCATTACACTTTTTTAGGTTCATTTGCATTCTTGCAGGGTACCTACCAAATCAATCCATCTGTTCACATGTAACGACATGGGAATGGCTAAATGGTTTTTCATTAAATTTGATATTGATTACTTTGACTACAATTTATCAACACATTCAAATTTTGGTTAAGATCAGACAACAATAATGGGCACTTGATGTGAAGACTTACATGTATTTTTTGAAAGAAAGTGGGTGGGGAATCAAAACCCAGGTAATTCCCCTGCCATTCATAAAGGTTAGATACTGGCAAATGCACAAGAATTGTTATACAAATTGTTATTCAAAACAGACAGTCATATTTCATTTTTAATCAGAACAGTTTTTTCTGTCTCTTTTAGTCTTCAGTTTGTTTGTTCACTGCAACTAGCAACACCACATTCTGTCACAGTTAAGCGCTCCGTTACTACTGAATCAGTAAGTACAATTTGCTCAGGAAAATCTAAGCCATATTTACATGTTATTTGTTCACCTTAGGAATTAAAACAAACAATAGATATTTTGATGACTACTTTGAGAAATAACAGGGTCATTTGTGTGTACTGGAGTCAACACAATGGGGAAAATGTACTTTTTAATCATGTCACATTTCATGTTTATAGTCAGTGATCTGACAGATTCCCTGGATGAAATTCCCTAAATATATATCTATGTATACACACACACACATAATCACTATTATCTGTTCCTACAATGGCCTTCTATTACTGTAATAAACACAGAAAATCTTTATCTCCAAAAATCCAAAGAATACCAAGCTAGTATCAATAAACAGTGAAGAAATAGGCACCATGCTTGAAATATTATTGTAGTATAATAATGCTTTGTTTTTAAAGCCTTCTGGCTTGTCCTCAAATTGCATTCCGTTAATAAATTCTAGGAAATCATAATGATGGGTGCTATTTTTTTCAACAAATTTAACATATACTGTTATGTATCAATACACCATGGCCCATTTCACTGCCATGAAAACTTGGATCTCTCATATAAATATAGCAAATGGTAGTAAAATAATGAGCCTATACATTGAAATTTCTTCCTTCATTACCATTGTAAGTTACTGGTTGCAGTCAATATATATTACTCAGATTATGTTTTAATTACTCCCCCTTCCCCAAAATAAACTAAAACTGAACTCTCCTGTAAAAGTAGCAGTAAACAAACAAGTAATCTCATTAACCCTTTGAGTGCGAAGGATTTATTACCTCACCAGCTCTGGAATGTCAGAAAAAAGTACAAATACTTATTAAAGTTTGTCACTGATGGCACAGAAACAAAGTCAGACTGGAATGCATGAATGAATGACAGAAATACTGGTATCCAACATTAACTTCACTTCTAATTGTTTCCTTAAGCTAATATCAGTAGAACCATTAGAGGTTAAGATTGTTCTCTTTCCTGCATATATAAACAAAAATATCAATAAAGCTTCAGTTCAGAAATTAAGATACAACTGTAGAAAACAATAGTATTTGTGTGTGTGTATAAATATATATATATAAATTGTCACAACATAAAAACATTCAAGAATTTAATGATGTTTGCAGAAGGAACTTTTTTTAAGCCAGTGTTTTACCACTGCTTACTTTCCTGCAGTACAAAAATTAAAAACTTTAATAGTAAAAACCTTAAACATCCATGTTCTATTCTCAAAATCATGTAAAATTAATGAAGCAACAACTTAATTATGTTTGTCTACAGGTACATTACTGTGTTTTCGAGCTTGATATTTAGATCAATGAGAGATACAGTTATCGAGAATGAAAAGAAAGCAATCGAGCAAATGAAAATACATATAATGAAACACCAGTCTTCTAGAATGAACATGGACTTGAGCTGTGCGTAAGTCCAACAAATTAGGCACTGTTTTATAAAATATTTATCTGTAAATGAAGACACTATGTATATAATGTCTTCACATCTGTAGAATATCAATGACATCTTGAGGTCGAGTCTCCTAATCCACCAGTGCCAACAAAACCTTCTTGTAATCACCAGTCGTGTCCCCCTGAGAAAATGGATTTTAATATTATGAAGTACATTCTTAACTTACAGTATGAAAAAGCAAAACAAAAATTCAGAAAGAACCCCACTGATATAAAGGGAACATAAAATATAACACAAGATGTGTTTGTTATAACAGTTAGGCTTATATTATAAATTGCATCTAAGATACTGTTTCTAAAGCTTTCAAAGCTAATGGACTGGTAGAAAAAGTGTATAAACCCTAACTGAATGCCATATATGTAAAAGAAACTACATGATCTCTTTTCATACTTTTTTACAGCATTTGTTAACAAAATATCATTTTAAAATAATAAGTTATAACTTACAGATATGAAACTGTCAAGAGTCTTTCCATACTTATCTTCAAAGGCCTTCTTTACATCACCTAGATCAATTTCAGAGCGTGATACAATGATGCGGATCAATGTTTTGTCCTTAGTGCCAAAGCCAGCCATGCTGTCATGGAGACGCTCGGCAAAAAATCCAACTTTGCTCTTAACGCATTTCACTATAGAGCACAGAAAATATTATTATGAAAATACTGACATTAAGTGAAGTGGAGACATTGCACTAACGTATCAACTGAGAGAAATTTAGATTTTCAAATGATCAAATCTATTTGTGAAAAATGTGTAATGTGTACATATTCCTGATGTCTGTACGTAAATACATCAAAAACTGTATATGAGAAAATTTGTATTGTCCGAGACCCATAACTATCGTGTAACAAAATCCAAAATGCTCTTCTGAATTGTGTTGTGTGGAAATTGATCTCGGAAAGTTGAATGTTGCAGTTTTAAATCTATTTCTGAGATACCAATATTCAGAATAATTAATTTTTTTTATTAGTGCTTGCCAACTCAAAAACCCTTTAACAGGCAAGCACATAACAAAACAAATCCTAGCAATACACTAAACAGGATTCTTCAAAGAAAAGGGGTCATCCAAGGAAACTGTTATCCCTAAAAACCTTTATAACTGACAAAACAGCAGCAAAGGAACATCTAACAAAGGGGACAGATCTTAGAATTTTGCTTATACTAAAAATGGAAAAGTCGTGAATTAGTGTAGTACACACAAACTAACACTATCCATGATGGAATAACTTTTATGTACACATTTGTCAGTTTTGCCATGTAAGGTGCAAGTTCCAGCTATTTCATTCTTGTGAATTAATTACTTTAACAAAATCAGATGAGTACAAATTTTCTCCATTCCTTTATTATAACATGTATATTAGGTCCAAATATTCATCTCAGCATTTCATTCTCAAACACAAGATAACCATTTTCCTTCTTTAGAATGAGAAACCAATTTTCACTTTTATATAAAATAATATGAAACCAAGTTTTATATATTCTGAAAATACTGCTACTCTGCACTTTATAATTACCTATAGCAAGTAATCCTTTCTCAATGCCTCCTGAGAACTCCTTTTTGATAGCTACTTCAATATCATGACCTGCTTGCTGCTCGTACTCCACAAATGTCTGGCGCAGCTGTTGATAGCTACGTGTCACTAGCACAGAATTGAAGACGGATTCATCTGTGCCCCATTGTTTCTTCTCCCCTAAAATAATATATTATATACCTGTTACTTTGGCAATTCACTCTGATCATTTTGCGTGGAAGAATCCAGAATAATAACTAAAAAAACCCAAAATTGTAATTATTCGCATACATCATGGTAATAAGTGCACACGCTTAAGTATCAACATTTTAAGATAATGGAAGCTGTTTAAAACACATTAGTAACAGCAGAATTCATATATGTGGAAGAACTTAAAAATAATTAAATATTAATCAAAATATGCAATGCATACTTTTTTCATGAAGGTCTCAAAAACTTAAACAGTCTTTCTTATGTAGACAGAGAAATGTGGATGTTAAATAGAAGTTATTTAACATCAATATTGACCTTCCTGAGCACATGATGAAAAGAATGACAGTAGGAAAGGATGAAACACACAAGAAAACTGCTCCAGCATTGTTCTGTACATCAAACATCTCAGGAACAGAACAAGTCAGGTCTCAAATTGAAATCCAATTGGAGGGAATCTGTACACAAGCTGTAATAATATAATGGAACATAATCATTTTGAAATGAAGCATGTACATATTTTTGTGCTCTGATACAAAGGCTGGTGCTTCAATGGATAAATCTTTTACAGATTATTTTAATAAAATAAGTGACTTATTTTTATGGAAGCGTATTATCATTGTTCACAGAACAGAAATTTCATGTCGCAGGAAATCAAGTAAAATGAAGACGGATTATATGTAAATAGATGTTTGTATAAGTTTCAGAATATGCATACATATATTACCACCAGCAGATACATCATCTGACCTGAGACGCTAAGCCTAGACAGAATAATACCAACAAACCTGCAGCTATTAATGCATGTGCATCAGCTCTTGCAGCTGATGGGTCCACAGTCTGGGTTTCATCTCTATTACCCTGGAAAGATAAAAAAGCTATAAAAGAGCAGACACATACATTCATGTGTGCATGTGTTTATATTTTTACTGTCCATGCTCATGATGCTATAAACCACAGTTTCACAAACAATGCTAAAAAATTAATAGAAAAGAATATTAAATTGCAGTCACTGCAGAATCAAACCAAATGAATTAAGAAAATCTGAACAATGTAGTAGAAATGAGTAATTCATACAAAATTTTCGAGTGAAGAGGCTGGTCACACAGGAGACAAGCGGCATGGATATGAAGAGAATGTTAAAGTGGACCTTGTTATTGTTGCAATGGGGTGAGACTATGAATCGACAAAACTGCAGCTTCTAATGGGCCCAATGCCCATTCCCCACATGAGAAGATTTTCCCAGAACCATTTTGTACACTATAACCTTACAGGGTATAAACCTGGGCCATAGTGAGAAGCTAATAACTAACCCCATGAGGTATGGCACAGCCTAAAATTAACCTTCGTAAAATGGAAAATGAAAGTGGTCACTGGACTCAACTGGCTCGCACTTACCACAGCAGGTTTTTAATAACAGGATTTTGTGGCCACAGCAATTTATTGATGGTTGAGTTACTACCACCTTTTTCAAGGAAGATGTTACATTAATAAAGCTGAATGTGTATAATTAATTGGATAGGACTGAGTAAAAATGGTCATGGCCCATTTTAAACTTCTATGCTGAATTTGCAAAGAGGGATGGTGAGGGAACCCCCCCCCGACCCCCACTCTAATGCCAAGATTCAAAACTGGAACCTGCTGAATACAAGAAGTGTTAATGACTACTTTGTGATATTTAACATGTGAAGAGCTAAGAGTGAGAGGGAAACAAACTGACAAAGAAATTAAAATGATATCCTTAATTAATTATAACTTATCACATTTTCTCTGTCAGTCAATGTGTATATAAATATTTTTTCATCATCTTTGAAGCAATTTTTTGTGAATCCACTTCAAATATAACATGAAAGGATACTGCATTTATGTTGTCTCATAGTTAGTAGTTACTTATTTTGTGTTTTCAATGTTTGCATTGGTAAAAAATACCACATACACCCATTTCCCAGTATACCTGATCAATAAAGGCTTGCCCTCTCCCCTCTATAGACACCATAAAGTTTCAGAAGAAATGCCTCTTGAACACTTAATATGTATAATTAAGATCATCTAATTATCAGTGTATGTAAAAGACGCTTCTGTGACCCAGATTACTTACCATGCATAAAGAAACCAAAAGTCTCTTGAAATGTCCAGATGTGTCACCTTTTAAATCACTTTCTAATGATTTCCCATATACTGAAAGAAAAGTAAAATATGTTTTGAAATTAATAGAAAAGAATATTAAATTGCAGTCACTGCAGAATCAAACCAAATGAATTAAGAAAATCTGAACAATGTAGTAGAAATGAGTAATTCATACAAAATTTTCGAGTGAAGAGGCTGGTCACACAGGAGACAAGCGGCATGGATATGAAGAGAATGTTAAAGTGGACCTTGTTATTGTTGCAATGGGGTGAGACTATGAATCGACAAAACTGCAGCTTCTAATGGGCCCAATGCCCATTCCCCACATGAGAAGATTTTCCCAGAACCATTTTGTACACTATAACCTTACAGGGTATAAACCTGGGCCATAGTGAGAAGCTAATAACTAACCCCATGAGGTATGGCACAGCCTAAAATTAACCTTCGTAAAATGGAAAATGAAAGTGGTCACTGGACTCAACTGGCTCGCACTTACCACAGCAGGTTTTTAATAACAGGATTTTGTGGCCACAGCAATTTATTGATGGTTGAGTTACTACCACCTTTTTCAAGGAAGATGTTACATTAATAAAGCTGAATGTGTATAATTAATTGGATAGGACTGAGTAAAAATGGTCATGGCCCATTTTAAACTTCTATGCTGAATTTGCAAAGAGGGATGGTGAGGGAACCCCCCCCCCGACCCCCACTCTAATGCCAAGATTCAAAACTGGAACCTGCTGAATACAAGAAGTGTTAATGACTACTTTGTGATATTTAACATGTGAAGAGCTAAGAGTGAGAGGGAAACAAACTGACAAAGAAATTAAAATGATATCCTTAATTAATTATAACTTATCACATTTTCTCTGTCAGTCAATGTGTATATAAATATTTTTTCATCATCTTTGAAGCAATTTTTTGTGAATCCACTTCAAATATAACATGAAAGGATACTGCATTTATGTTGTCTCATAGTTAGTAGTTACTTATTTTGTGTTTTCAATGTTTGCATTGGTAAAAAATACCACATACACCCATTTCCCAGTATACCTGATCAATAAAGGCTTGCCCTCTCCCCTCTATAGACACCATAAAGTTTCAGAAGAAATGCCTCTTGAACACTTAATATGTATAATTAAGATCATCTAATTATCAGTGTATGTAAAAGACGCTTCTGTGACCCAGATTACTTACCATGCATAAAGAAACCAAAAGTCTCTTGAAATGTCCAGATGTGTCACCTTTTAAATCACTTTCTAATGATTTCCCATATACTGAAAGAAAAGTAAAATATGTTTTGAAATAAAATGGGACCACCGGCTTTACTTCCCCTCTGAATGAAGTTGTAACCTTACAAATCCATTGACCTCTGCCAGGTTTGAACCCATGAACCTTAGGGTCCAGTGGTGTGTATGCTAACCAGTAGTCCACTGAGGGTGACATTGCGAAGATTAATGTACTTCAATATGTCATATTACAATAGGAAAATGACAATTTTAATATAATACAATTAGTAGTAACATATGATAATGGTCAACTTAATAAAATGTGATGAAATCCATAACAATACTTCTTTCCTTTTTGGGAAAGTACATGTCTACATAAAGAGATCAGAAATATTTGTTATTCCATAAATTACATTAATAATTTACTTGTTATTAGGACCATATTATTTTTTTCTATTTTCAGGTCCTTGACTGCATTTAGTGATGTTATAAATGTTAAAATAGTTCTTAGATCTTAATTATAAACTGAAAATGTGATTGGCACTGGAGAAAGTTCAAAGATTGTTTACAATTCTTACACTGGAGGATTTATGTCACATGTACAGAATGAAACTGTAATGTGTAGAAATATTTACTGGAAGTGCCAGAGTGCAATATAAGTATACACACTAGGTTAATATTCCATATTACAATGTGTATACATCTGCATACAGAAATATGGACTGAATTTTCCAAAATCATTTACTTTCAGCCAAGAAGAGAATTTTGTGGTGTTAATGAAAAGACTTTTACAGAACTTACAAAGACAAGTATTCTGTTACATACAACGTTTTGGTATTTTTGTCAAAATTGGTCAAAGCATCTTCTGCACATTTAAACAATAATTAAAGAACACCAAAGGCCATAAAGAGCTTACCAAAAGTTACTGAGTTAGTGCACATAATTACTTATTCCCAGATCCTTTAAAGAATTCTTGTATAAATATGCATCCTTCAAAAATTCTGTTTACTTACCTGGTAAAATAATGTATGCATGGTTACATTATTCTTAAATAAATTATTCGTTAATTAAGCTGTGTCAGATGGCTTAAAATTAAGAATACCAAGCTCTACCCATGCTGATAACAAAGCTATGTTACCTGTACAACTGATGAATGGAATGATCAGATGTAGTATTACTCACAGTTTTCATAAAATGCTGATATTGTGCGGATACCATAATTACTGAGAGTGCACAGTATCTCAATTATGGCTTCTTCATCAGTTCCCACTCCACTCACTGCATCATGAAGTTCCTTTGCATAAAACTGGGGCAATGGTGTCATGAGTGCTACAATAACATCTTCAAATTTGCCTCCAAGTTCACTTTTTAGTTCTTTAACTAGGTCCTACAAAGTAGAAAATGGAATTCTCAATTACATAATATAATCTCAGTCTGGAATTTGATTACCAGAAAATCTTCAACCACGACATCATTTTAAATGTTCTGGAACTTTTAAAGTCAGTGCTTGAAGTATATACTATATATTTATCCCAACTAACCAACCAATGAATTATATGGTACAGATGATATCTTGAAAAGTTGACAGTTGCTCAGATGGTCAAGAAATTTCTTGCTTTAATAGAACTTGAAGGCTCATTATAGTAATATATCTCTTAAAGGTTATAATGATATGTTTTGCATTCAATGTTTTACTACCTCCATCATTCTATATATTAAAATAAAGCCACAATGTTTCAAGGGCTGGTGATGGCTCAGTCTTCAGGGCTTTATTTTAATATATAGAATGATGGAGATTGTGAACAAGAAAAAACTACTGAACTCTCATTACACTGTTCACAAAAACCTACTGTTGGATTACATATGATTGTTTCCCAAGTACTCCCAATGAGGTTTCTCTGACCAATAGTTCTGTATGCTTCTCTCACTTCTACCAAGTGTGCTACATGTTACATACACCTTGTTGTATCATGTATATAACAAGAGCATGACCAAGGTTCAAATTTACCTTTCCATACAGAGTTTTGAATGCTTCTGAGATTTCTAGCCTTTGCACTATTCCCCTCCTGGCCAGAACATCAATAATGGATTGCTCATCTGTGCCAAATCCTTTCATAGCCTTCCTGAGGGCTGCTGCATCAGCATTAGCATCAAAGGGCTCTGCAGGATATACACTAGGAGTACACTGAAAGTAAAATTGTTCAAATGCTCATTACTTTAAACTAAACTAATAAATAAGGAATCATATAAAAGTCATACTGTGTGAATAAATTATTCTAATTATCAACAAAATGTACCTTGAATGGATAGTACTGTTGGGAGCTCATTATGATCTGAAATCACACAAAGAGAAAGGGTGGTTAAATATACTTTCATGAAAGCTGAATTGAAGCATCAACACAATATTCTGCAACAATAAGTACAATGTGTGATGGTCACTGGCATCTGGTGCACACTGTTTGCTTTGATACCACACAGAATGTTTTATACTATGCTGCGTTGATTCCAATAAATTTTACGCATTTTTACATGCTCTACCCATCTCATCCTCATTGGTTCTATCAGTATGTCACACTGTCATTCGTCAAACAGCTGTAAAATCCACATAATGAAACACTGAAAGGTGCCAAGTGGGTGTAACCTCAGCTTTCAAATTTTGCCAGTGAAGTGGAATGTTTTTGTGTATATGATCTGAGGTTTTCGGTAAGTATGAAGATTTCCCAGAAGACAGAAATCTTCAATGTTTTTGTAGTTATGCAAAATAAAATTCACAAATGCATAAAGAAGAAATAAGCCAAATTTTACAAACCTGAAAGGATGATGTGGAAGAATCTTAATGAAGTGCTTGAAAGCTAAATTATATTCAAATGGCCTTATCCTAACAGACGACTTTCTAGACTGATCTCGTAAATTATATCCTGTGAGTAATTCACTTGTGACGTGATTCACACCAACCAAAAAGTTATGGGCGGAGTCCTGCGCAAGCGCAAGACATCGTTCTCTTCTAGGTAACACCATTGCTGCTTACGAAACACGTTGCTGGAAATGATAAATAGAGCTTTATAACTATAACGGGAATTTGCTTACACAAAGGAGGTTTTGTCGTGGCGGAAGCCTTGATTGTTCAAACTAAGGTCTGTTGCTGCTGATGAGAGGTTATCCCGTCAGGTAACTTGTCCTTCGTGCAAAGGATTTTGGTTTGGTGGTTCTCTTGTATTTGAACGCAGAGGGGGCGGGAATGCTTCGGCTGAATGCATGAAAACATGAGGTTGGAAACCGGTCTATGAAGCTAATTTTCATGCATTGTGTTGACACTGTGTACAGCAGAATGAGTTTGAAAAAGTTCTTGGTTATTTACAATAAGGTTTATAAATGAGAATATGTATTCACAAGGAATAGCTAAGATCTCTAGCCTCTTAAATATACATCTACATGAATTTCTAGTTTTGACACCAGCCACTAATCTAATAATTTTATTGACGTAAATACGTCTATACGGAAGGGTCATTCGTTCTTATGTTACATTACTGCCGTCAACAACCTGCTTATTGCGGAAAGAGCTGAGCTGTGAATCGGTTGTAGAAGAAGTGCGTCGTAGACTAGATAATTTTGTGCTGGTAAAAACGTTTTAGAATATCACAAGTACTTTTCTTATATAAGAATTATTACATTACATTACAGAGACGTATTTACGTCAGATTCTCCGGAACCGTGGTTCCACTGTCAACCTTTTTATAAAGTGAATATATTTTTACTGTTTGATGAATAACCCCCCAAAATTATTCCATACTTCATTATAGCTTGAAAGTAGGCAAAATATACTGATCTGAGTGTGTTAGTGTTGCTGATATGCAACAGAGATATAACTGAATAACATGCTCACTTAACTTATGTATCAATTTATCAATATGATTTGTCCAATTTAGGTGATTATCAATTTGCAAAACCCAGGAATTTTGTATTTATTGACTCTTGTATATACTTCCCATTATAACCAATACTTAAAGCATATTGTGGTGAGTTATTTGTTACAAATTCTATTATTTGTTTTATCTAGATATAGGGCCAGCTTGTTAGCAGTAAACAATTTACCCATATGAGACAGAACTGTGTTAGATGTTGTTCAAGGGGTCAGTAGCTCCGAGAAACTTGAATGTTTTTTGGGTTGGGGATCACTTATTTGTCTTCTTTTTCTTATTTGCGTACAACAGCATCCACTGGGCTACAACATGGGCTCTATAGGTTTCGTAGAAACAGGAAGATAAGAACTATAAAGAGAAATAATTATCTGAAATATTATTACATATCAGCCTTATGAATTGAAGCCTTGACAAATTTGTAACGTTCAGACTAAGATAGTTCTTCATCGTTGATTTTACTGTAGTCGCCTTAATTTTTTCGAATGACTCTGAACATGCGCCAAGTTTTAGATGGCAGTGATTTATAAATAACCTTGTGATGTTGAATTTGGTTTGGTTGGTTATAGTGTAACGAAAGATCGTGTGTGTGTGATTATTGTGTATTTATTGTGCGGTTAAAGAAATGAAGTTATCGAGTAATCGGTAATAATGGCTTCGGGTTCCGAAGGAAGCAGAAGACCAAGAGGACCTTGCGCATGGTGTGTCAGTGCTGTGAAATGGATTCCGGTTATATTTATTGTGACAATTATAGTATGGTCCTACTATGCGTACGTGATCCAGCTATGCTCACGTGAGTAACATGTTTGTTCAGTTAAGTTGTATGCATTATAACTTCGATTGTTGGTGGTTCGTCTGGGGTATAGAATTTACAATTTATTTGTTTAGTCAGTTATATGAGCAGGAGGTTGATGTCCTTATTTCCGTGTTACTGACAATTCTGCCCCTCCAAGTCGCATCAAAACTAATTAGGTTAGTTTCAGGGTTGGAATTAGGAGATTGCCGTTTAAAATGTTGTTAGTGGTTGTATTTATGCTACAGTGATGAATTGATATTGGAAGAATTTTTTGGATAGTCGCCTGTTGTGCAATAACTTTGTGGTACGTGCCCCATGGGTGGGAGGAGTTGAGATTTTGCCCCCAAAAATGGCGAGGTAAGCACGAGATATATCACCATATATCTACTGTAGTACGTACATACTGTTAAGTGATTATGAGTCTCAATTTATATGCCATTTTTACAAGACTGGGTTACACAGTAATTGTCACATTTGAGAGCACAAGGACTACACTTGTACGTAGGAAAACCTCTCCTTTTGAGCACTGTGACTTGCAAGTTAGTGTGTATGGTACCTACAATTTTAAGAGCACTTCTGTAGGAAATGCTTGGGCTTCCTACAGGTGTTCTGAGAAACACTTCCTCAGTTTTACTTTGCTCATTTCTAGGGAATTCTTGGACATTTACTGCAAATTTATTACTGTAATCACTTATTTCCATGTGAAATAACACTGGAGATTGCTGTGTCCTTTCAGGGTCCGCTAATGATGTACTATTGTATGTTCAAAGTCATGTACACCATTTCCATACAGTTTATATTTCATGTTTTACAGACAGTATTAAAGTGAAAGCTGAGAAGTTATATTGATAGTGAAATATGTAATGAACTCAGAAGTTTGAAATGGACAGAAGATTAACAAATGTATTTCACTGATAACTGTATTACAATTGAAAATGGCATCAACCCAGTGGATTGTCTGCTGTCCTTAAGTACCAGAAATTATTTAGTTTAAACTAGTGTGTTTGATTCTAATATTTGCTTTCCTTTTTCAGTAACTGTGACAGACAATGTAGAAAGGGGTGAGTACCTGTAGTTATTTTTCTGTTTAAACTAGCATACATTGCAAACTTCCTATGGCTTGTGAACAGTGGGGCTCAAGTCCTGTTTCTAAAATTAAAGATATCCATTTGTTTTGTTTTACTGTTATGCTGAACAATATTGTGAAGTTGTTTCAAGTTATGGCTGTGAAGAAGGGTGACATTTATTGAAAGTCTGTGCATTTAGATTTAAAAAATGGTAATTTCTGCAATAATGCAATAGTTAAATTCTAGAAAAAGTATTACATTGTAGGTAAATCCCATTATGGAATCAGATGAAGTGCCAGTTTTGCCAAATTTTGTTTCCTGGCACCAGATATTGTAAATGATGTGTGGACAGTGATGGTGGTCAACAGACTGAAATGCATGTCTTGGATGAGTAAAGAAAATTGTATTTGCAAAAGATGATTGGTGATTTTATAACTTATATATACAGCAGGAAGAACCCAGATAAATCTTTAAAAATGTTATTGTAGGTCAAAAAAGAAAAAATTATGATTACATGTTTAAACACAATTAGTAAGTCATTTGATGATAGCATTTTACAATGGTTGCAGCATGTTATGAGCATTTGATTTATTTTATTGAAATCACTTTTAGACAGAAAAATTGTTTTGTATCATTTGTTGCTGACCTTTTTTCAGTTCCAATAATTTTTGAAGTCAAAAGTTGGGAATTTTTTGTGTTTGGAAGGTCTAAAATGGTGAATATTTGATGGCTACTCTGAGGCAGTGTCCTCCTAAGAGCAATCACTGCGTTAGTTGCATCCTTTCCCAGTCGATCAGCTGTATTGATAGTAAGATTGCAGCAGTATGGTGGAGTGAAGTTTACATACCTGTGTTACAGGAGATGCTGAAAATGTTTCCCATTGTCTTGGATACATTCCCATTCCTTCTAAACGTAGTGGTTCACACCCTATGGTTATTCTCGTATATGGGGCACTTCAAGATGGTGAATGATTGTGCAGTGTTCTTTTGTGTGTAAATTGATTGAGTACACTTTAGTTTTTAAATATTCTCACTGACATAAGATATCAATCACAGAAACTATGTTTTGCTAATGAATCACATAGTTGTAGTGTGATCACAGCTGTCGGTTTGTAAGGCTGTAGTTTCATTATCTATTACTACTTCCAGCTTATTAACATGCCAGTTGTTCAAGTCAGATTGACAAAATTATGAAGTGTTTCTGTTTAGAACTAAGATGCTTGTTAGCATTCTTCTGAATTTCATGTCTCTACCTACCAAAGTCATTGTTTGTTACATAAGATTTTAATGGAAACATGAGATGTTGTAGGTTAAACTTCAACATGTTCTACACAGAGGGAATCTTAAACAACACTGAGGCATATCTGAATGTCACAAGGAAATATAAGTACCACTTCATCTTATCATCACTGCATGGTCATAGTGACTTGCTTCAACTAATGCAGTGATTATTCGTAGCAGATAGGCCATGCCCTGGTGTAGCCACCAAATATTTCTTTCTTATACTATACAGGTGTTGCAAAAGTCAGGACACTCTTAAAATGAAAATACATATGAATATGTTGTATTCCTTTTAATTTTGCATATACTTCAATTGTTTTTATGTGTGCCCTTACAAATAAATGTCCTTACTTTAAGTATTCAAAATGCTACCATCTACACTGGTAACAGCTCTGCAACCTGGGATGGCCCATGTGTCTTAACATTTGTACCATTCTGAAAATAAACAGAAATACTACTTTTTTTAAGTTTTGCCAATTCCATGATGTAATTTTTATGGCAGTGAGCCAGGATATCTCAGTCAGTATAGTGACTAGCTATGGGCTGGACAACTGGGGTTTCAATACCCTATGGGGGAAGAGGATTTATCCTCTAGCCTCTGCATCCAGATTGGCTCTGGGGTCCACCCAGTGGGTACAAGGGTCCTTTTCCGGGGGTAAAGTGCAGCCAGAGCATGATGCTGACCACTCACCCCCATCCAGTGCCAAGGTCAAGAATGAGTAGGAGCTTACCTCCTCTCCCCCCAAGTGACCTACATGGCATGTAGCAGTACTGCTTAATTTTTATGACATTATTGTAGTGCAGTAAAATTTTTGTTTTACATATGTCTTGTAAGAGGAAAATTTCATCACACTTTTTCCATTTGCTGTATTGTGTCTGTAGATTGTCATTGGAGCAGCTCTGTTGTTGTTGTTGTTGTTGTTTTTAGTAATTAGTTTATGCATGTATTGAACCTGTGAGAGGATAACTCACAATTCTTGTATAAGGCATTTCGTTAAAGGTATCAAATGTGTGGGACAGAGAGGATGATAACATCCTGTCATTTTGTCTCTCACCCATAATGCAGTGTTTCTTATTCTTCTTCTTGTACCCTTTTTCTCTCCTACATGGAGCATAGGCGCCTCCTTTCAGAGGTTTCTGATCTGTTTTTTTAGATATTTGGTAGGGACTCCCTGGATGAGTGATAAGCCCATCACAAGTCCTCTACCAGAGACGTGAGTGAGAAATATGCTGAATTTTGCTTGTAAGGTTCTTTTACATGCTGTAAATCTACAACAGGACCGCCGGCTTTACTTCTCCTCTAAAGGAAGTTGTGCTATGGATTTTTATTACCCTTAGAAATCCATCAACCTCGGCCTGGTTTGAACCCACAAACCTCGGATCCATTGGCAAGCACATTTTCACTAGACTACCAAGGTCAAAATAATGCAGTGTTTGACACCAGTATATGCTCCCCTCAGATTTAAAGCACTTCTGATTTCTGACACTCGTGCAATCTATATTAGAGTGATTTGTGTAATATTTTCTTAAGTTAATTATAATTATTGAAACTCACGCTTGTTTTATTTCAGTGCTATACCTCATAGGATATCACATCCTGTTTGCTGTTTTCATGTGGGCATATTGGCAAACAATTTTCACAGAAATTGGCAGAGTTCCTTCAAAGGTATGCCATTAATTTTTAAATTATTTACTAAATGACAGTCGATTTTCTCTTATGTCCACTGCTTTTCCCATAGCTGATTATAGAACCATACTTCCCAGTTTTCTCCAGTGTTCATTGCTTTTAATGTGGGTGTTGATGAACCATACTTTCATTGGTGCATTGTGATGTAGAACACTAACTGCTCAGCAATATAATAGCACTGGACATGAGCATAATATAAGTCTTTAGAATACATAAAAATGTATTACTGCCATTAATAGTGTGTAAGTTATAATACAAAGCTTGTGTGCTTTATTTGCTATTCACCTATGTTTTTTATTATACCTGTTGTTTTTGAAGTGCAGTCCAGCATTTAAGTATTTTTATTTAATGGCACATATTTCTATGCATCTTTTTAAATGAATCTTGAAGTAATCAACATATTACTTACTTCCTCTACCATTATTCAAACTACTTGTATCCTTAAATGTAGAAATTTTGTGTTTTAATTGCTGCTTGTTAATGGATGTTTCATTGTTGAATTGTACAGGTTAGAATTTTCTTATCCTTCTAACGTTAACCTCGCTAACATTTGGCTAGCCTCATTTAAGATGCACTGTGATCCTGGGGAAAACTGTTTCATTGCAGCTCACAGAAACTGTTTTTACAGACTGGCTTCCATAATGAGGATTATCAATCTTCTTATATTCTACTTAATCTTTGATTCTTATTTAAAGTACTTAATTTGATAAATACTTTGTCATACACCATCAACATATATAACCATTGTAGACCACCCTCTTTTTCATTCCAGTTTGCTATCATATGCTTGCCATCAGTCATATCATTCCCATGCAGCTGTTGGCTTGTTGTTGTTGTTGTTGTTGTGGTGGTGGTCACCATCTTCATCATCACGTGTTTGTATTTGGCCATATGGCTATTGGGGCAACATAAAAATTATAAACGGCTGCCTTCTTTCCATCAAGATTTGGGCAACGTTCCATTCCAAGTTGTTGGTGTTGTGACTTATCATTGTCATCGTCATATGTGCATCAGATACAAATGCCATGTGGGGAAAAACTGACATGATTGTAACCATGTAGGAATTTGTCTGTGTATGTGTCTTCGTTTCTCAGTTTTGGAACGCTGTTTGTGATTTGTGTAGTATTTGAACAAAAGTTAAATGCAGTATCAGTTGTAAATTTATATAAATCAGGTTGTAGATTGTTAGATATAGTAAACAGTTGGTTTTGAAATATTAATAACTTCTTATTTGTATGTAATGTGTGACAGTTCAAAATGCCCAGAGCAGAACTGGAGAGATTAGAACAAGCTGAGAGTGAAGAGGCTCAGAGGCAGATTTTGGAGCGATTTGCTCAGGATCTCCCCATTACAAATCGTACTGTCACAGGAGGTGAGTACTCAGGACATCAATACATTGCTGTAGTTTTGCCATATGATGTAAGATTTTTGAAGTGTTCCTAAAAAAAGAGTTTTATTTGTGTGAATTCCAGTTATTCTGAAACTGCAGTTTTGGCATACCATTGATTTTTTCTTGAAAAATGGGAATGTACAAAACTACCAAAAACGATCAGGAAATTGAGAATATGCTCATAATGCTTGCTTTTTATTTATTTGTAGTGTGATTCATTTTTTGCAGGTTGCAACATGTGGCATTTTATGTTGCTTCAAACATATATTGTATGTTTGTGCGATTGTCTAGTACAGTGGTCTTCAACCTTGGGTATAAGTACCCCCGGGGGTATGTGAAATTTAAAAAATATATATTATTTTATGATAAACACTGAATAATCAGTAATGTAATTTATTTAATTTATTTTAGATGTAGATTATATGCTATGTATAACTTGAATTATACACCAACAACTTTGGGGGTACAAAGTTGAAGAGAAATATCTGGGGGTACGCGAACAAAAAAGGTTGCATACCACTGGTCTAGTAGATTGTCAAGAAGTAAAGTTAGGCTTTAGTACCACCCATGTGTCTGTACCCCTTAATAACAGCTGAAGCTGTTAATGGATTTGTGAAACTCGGTATGAACATTATGATATGCAGGTTTGTGCTTTTTTATTTATGATTATCATTAATACCGTCAAGGCAGCCATGTAACATTTTGTAGTGGGAGCAGCACTAGCAACACTACTGGCAGAAAGCATGTGGCATTTTGTATGGTAGTACACTTTGAAAAGTACGCAACTTTAACAGCAGTGTAAAATATACACAGAAGTGTGTGTGTCACTAAAGTCTATAGAACTTACTAATTTACTGTTTCTGCTGGTTTCACCATATAGCTTGAAGCATTTGAAGAAAATTATGCATTGTAAGTTCTTTTGAAGATTTATGGCTTCTTATCTGTTAAATCCCATGAACATATAGTCATTAATGTTTATGTTGAGATTTTATGTCATGAGTACAAGTATGAAGATGGCTGTCTTCTGGGATGTTATGCCATGTAATCTGGCAGATGTTTACTAGATGTTTCAGAGGAGCTTACTGCCTGCATCATCAAAGCCATGAATAATATGTGTGGTAGAATCAGGTTAAATATAGGCACAGGTTGGACAATGTAGATCTGCAGCCAAATCAGTAGGAGAGGTGGGTGGACCAGCGTGAGGGTTGGTAAAATAAGGGAGCCAGTAAGAAAAGGGGAGACCTCCACACTGCTTGGTGCAAAATCCCAGAAGATAGCCATCTATCTTCATTGTTTGTATTAGTGACTGGATAGAAAGTGTAAAATGTCTGAGGATAGAGAAAATTCTGAGAATACTTCTGCCCCAGAATTTTATTTACATATAGAGCTGTTATTCTATAGACCAGGAAAATTAGCTCTTTTACAGTAGCTACAGAATGAATAATGAAGGAGTGATCTTTTAGCTTTGCTGTACAATGTGAGTGATTGTTGTCTACTTTGGAAATGTTTTTCCTTGTTCTTTTATCTTTGTCTTTGCATCTAATGTTGTTAAGTTAGTACTAGTGCTTAAGAATATGCGTTAAAAGAATGATTTAAAATACTATGTTCTAACATAAAAGTGTGTTATGGAATGCTGACCTTGCTAAAACTCCTCTTGTAATCATTATTTTAAAAAAAACAAAAAATAGTGTTTATATGTGTGAATATAAAATTAAGAAGTATTTATGACATCTGTGTCAATTATACAGAATGTATAATCTTATAAGAATGAAGTTTGTTAGATGTGGTTCGTACTGAATGTGACTTGCTGTTTCAGCAATCCGGTACTGTGAAAAGTGCCAACATGTTAAACCAGATCGGGCACATCATTGCAGTGTGTGTGGAGAATGTGTTCTGAAAATGGACCATCATTGTCCATGGGTTAACAATTGTGTGGCATTTACCAACTATAAGTTCTTCATTCTGTTTCTGGGATATGCTCTTCTGTACTGCCTTTTCATAGCATTTACAACATTGTCATACTTCATAAGTTTTTGGAAGGTAAGTTGCAGTTAAAAGTTATATTACTGATTGATCAAATGCTCAGATATATACACCAGCATTGTGTGAGGGAGCATGCCTGTTTTAACTGACTTTCCTGGTTGAATGTGTCTCTCCTTTCTTCTGTAGTAATGAGAAAGAGGCTCTTTGAACAGTTTTTATGTGAGATAATTTTATGTTAGTTTGTATGGGAATAAAATATGGATATTAAATTAATATTATCATGTGCTGACTGCATTTTCTAATTTCAGGGTGACTTGCAAGGGATTGGCCGTTTCCACATTCTTTTTCTTTTCTTCATTGCAGTCATGTTTGCAGTTAGTCTTGTGTCTCTGTTCTGCTACCATTGTTACCTTGTCCTTCGAAACAGGTCAACATTAGGTAAGATGGCTTTCGTTCTTTGTCAGGTTCAGATTAAGGAAGTCTGCTTTTATTTTGCATGTGTTAATTTTGGAGGAGGTTCTGGAAACATAAGGCAGAAATTGTTTCTTGGGGGACAGAACTTGATTTAACATTTTCCATAATCCTTTCCAGAGGCCTTCAGAGCACCAATATTTCGCACTGTTGCAGATAAAGATGGCTTTAGTTTAGGGAAGTACAACAATTTCCAAGAAGTCTTTGGAGACAATAAAAAAACATGGTTTTTACCTATTTTTACAAGGTAAGTGGTATATGTAATTAATTCAAGTTGATATACTGCTATGTGATGAAATTATACATTAGGTGCTGGAGTAGGAGTGATTGTAGAGCAGGTAATATAGTGTGAAGCATTTGATGGTAAATAATGGGCATAAATAATTTGCCCCAAATTAATGCTATTTGCAGCATAGTAAGTGCTGTATGCGGTACATTTTGATTTTGTACATGGAGTACTTGTTCTTAATAGTTTCTGCTTTGATTAAAATTTCATTTATAACCTTGGTATTATTTACTATTATGAGTTCTCTGAATTATAGTCTCAAGATTTTTAAAGGTTCTGTTTCTTACTGCTGTTGATGTACATAATTAAGATGGATAATTATTAAATTATGTTGTAGTTGCTAAACTTACTTTGCAAATACAGAGCATTATTCACTCTATTAAATGCAGTAAACATTGTAATCAGTGATTATTTATTATCTGTTACAGAAATAAAAATGTATTCGAAACAACTTTTACAAGGGGGCTGGTCGATTGATACCCTTCAGTTCTGTTTGGACTTTGCACTATGGCTTTGAGCCTTTCTGTGGGATTTGAGGTTTTCACAGCAGTGAGTCCGAAGATGGCTGTCTTCTGGGTTTTAGCGCTATGTAGCCTGGAAGAACTTTACAAATGTTTCAGAGGTCCTTGCTGCCTCATCGCCCTGATGATGGAGGCAGCAAGGACCTCTGAAACATTCATAAACTTCAACCAGACTACACATTGCTACAACTCAGAAGACAGCTAACTTTGGCTTTGTTATTTCCTGGATGAAATAGTGGGTGTTGACTTGTAATATACAATTTTATTTTTCAGGTTTTCACTATAACTTCCTAGGTCTCATAGGAGGGGGCACCCTTACATTGCTCATGATAGCTTGGTTAGTATTATGTTTGCCTGTTTGTTTGATTATCAGTTTGGTTTCTTCATCACAATGTCTGTAATGGCGTCACTGTAGGCAAACATCCTACCAACTGGGGCATCACAAACAACATAAGGGTGATTTTTTTACGAGACTTTTGTAGTGTTTGTTGTTTTCTGGAAAATGAAATTGTGTATGTTTTGGCTAGGCAGTAAGAGGAAGGTCCACATCCATACTGCAAAATCAGATCCAAATAAGAGGGTATAAATCAGAGGTTTAGTTCCACAGAGACATAGTCTCACCCCATTGCACCGGTAACACTGTAGAGATGTTGGTATACATGTATAAAGTTAGAAGGCAACCACACTTACTAAACGGTTAATTACAAACATTTTGTGTAGAATTTGTATAGTTGTGTAACTGTTGGACCTTGTATGAGCTATTAACAAAGAAACATTAGTAGTGTTTAAATGATCTGGTAGTGAAACAAGAAATAAGCATCAAGAAATCCAAGTATGAATCAACAAATGAAGTTCATTATGTGTGTGTTCTTCAAACTACTGCTTGATTTTTTGTGGTAATTTTATCTAATTTAAGTAAACTGTTGATGTATATTTGGAACTTGTTGAACTTCATTACATGTACAAAATACATGAAGTTCTGTTATTTCACTCTTTAGATACTCTGATTAAATATGCATTACACACATATATTTAGCCTAATAAAGTCTGATTCATGTTTAAAAAGTAAAGGGAGGTGTGATAGAGCATAACAAGAATAAAGAACTATTGTCATTGGAGAGTAATAGAAAAGTTTGTTTCCAACTGTTCTTCTAGCTAGGGAGCTAGTAGCAGTTGAAACTGCTTTTCAAATGGTTTCCTTGATGTTTCTCTGTAGTGTGTTTGATTATGTTCTGCATTTGTGGAATGTGGGATTCCATTAACATTAGGCTAGGGTGCTGAAGAAATATCCAACAGTTTTTTTGAATTTGGTTTTACATTGTTGAGAATAGAATGGAATTTCTGGTGTCTCCTGTTTTTGTAGTCTGTGTTGTCTCCGAATATTTACTTGTAAGAGTACTTTGTATTAGAGAATTTATATTGTAGGACTAGACATTGAGATTCTCATGGCAATGAATACTGTGATATCATGTCTTCTGGCTTGTAGCACTGTGTAGTCTGGCAAAAGTTTATGTAAACTTCTACTAGATTGCATGGCCTGTATATTTTAGGAATCTCCGGTATGAGCGCAAAGAAAGCCTATTCGACTGGTCAGCTGTAACCATTGCTTTATTTACTTCAGTAGTTGATATTGTGTTGGCAATTAACATTTTAATTAATAAATTGCATGTTTGGAGTACAGAAAGGGATAAGTACAGTCTGCTGCAATCTAATATTTTCTATATAAGAACATTATTCTGGTATGTTCTTTGATATTCCTTCCTGTGCTTTTTTAGTTTCAATATGAATTATGTTCATAAAATTATATATTTGAAATTACATAACTGATACGCAGTGTTTTTCATGCAGTGTTGTCTGTGATGGTTTGAAAGTTAAGCTTAATTACCCATCTGTTTGTGTAGTTCATTGCTGTGGAGTAATTCCATCTGTTTTATACTGTTATTAAGAGTTTTGTGGAGCATTATTGTAATATGTAAGATATACAGTGATGTGGAGAAACCTGAATAAAGCTAAGCACATTACTCATTTTTAGAGAACAACTTGCTTTATCCTAAAATAAAATGCACTTGTGTTGTACTTCAAAAACCATAGCCTTTGAAAGAATTATTTTAGCAAAACTGATTTACTAAGGGCTCACTTCTTGAGCTTAATATGTATAACGAAGCACGTGTTCCTTTTTGGTTTTATGTAGTATTATATTCTGCAACTCAAATTTATATCTGCTTGTTTATATTGCACTTACATAGAAATAAACCTTTTTATACACTTATTAAACATCAGATCCTAATCTGACAATTTTGCTTTTTGTGCACATTGTTATGGAACATAGTCAGAGGGTATATGTATTGTAATTCATACTTTCTAACACATTTTGCGCACTTCATGGAGTAATTTTTGTGTCTGTGTGTTGTATTTATTTTGTAACTGGGAGATAGAATTTTTTGTTATTAGTTGCATACTGTTTTGAGGATGTTTCAGATTTATGTACAAATTTTCCCCAGGACTGAATTTATCAGGAACTAAGTGCAGGTCCTAGATTGCATGTGTCATTACACAAATGAGTGACTACTTTCTCAATTGGAATAGGTTACAGGAGTACAAGGATCAGAATTTTGACATAACAGTTTGATGGTATGAGTACAACATGCCCTATACAGTAATCAAGATAAAACATGCGGAAATTACTGTGAAAGGAGAAGTTTAAATATAGTCTATTTGGATATGAAAGTGCACGAAATGTGAATGTGTTTTGGGGGAGGGGGTTGTCTTATTAAATGTTGTGGTTGTATTCATGTATGTCTTATTTTTAATTTCAATTTTGGAATGTGGTATGAAGTAGCTGTGAGTGATACATAAATTGGAAACTTATTTTAAAATTAGAATGGAGTCTCTAAATGTGTTAATTTAAAATATTTTACATTTTTTTATGTCATAAATACAAGGATTGAAAAGATAACAAGTGTTGCAATAATATTGTTATTATTGTAATATATTTTATAGATGCTGTTTACTCTTCAGTTACACTCATACACAAATTCAAGACATGATTATAGAGCCACTTTCCTCTCTTTGTTTTCTTTTATATTAAATTTGTATGGGCCTAAGAGCGATTAATGACTGAAAAGTTCTGAAATGTCAAGTTCTGTTGTTTGGTCTCACATAGTTCAAGATACTAAGTTAGTGGATGACCATTATAATTTTTGCATCCTTGATCAGATTATTTTAATTATATATTTGCACTTGGAAAAATATTTATATCATCTGGTTTTGAAAGTTTTGGAATAATTTGGATTGCGGTTTTCTGCATTACAAAGTTATGTGGTCTTGTAGATAGTTACCAACATTTTGGATGAACCCATAACCTTTATCTTCAGAGTAGAAATGTATATCACTTATATGGAGGAGTGTGACCAATGGAATGGATAAAATGTAAGAGGCTCTGAAAATGATAATTTCCCAAGGATGTCTTTTATGGCCGCCTTTGAAATTTGCCCTTTTGAGAACTTCTCCTGTTTATCTCATTTCCATCATTGAAGAAGGAGGCAGTAGGTTCCCCCAAAATACTGTTAACTACATGCAAGACTGCAGGACATCATAATCTAGAAGACAACCCAAATTTGCACCATATTGAAAAGCTGATATTCAGTACCACATATATCACCATACATTATATTTAACAAATAATGGTATTAATTTGCAAGTTTTGTGGGTCTTTTTCGTGTGTTTTTCATAGTGCACACCTATATTGGAACATTGAAGCCTTCCACCAATATTTTATCATAATCTGTAATGCAATGTGCGTGCATTGAACAGTAACTGTAGGGCCTTACTTCTGTTCTAGTTTGGGGGACGGTTTGGTTTTCCCAGTTCGGGCCCAGCATCAGCCCAGCTCATACAACTCCATGGGCAGTACACAGACAAGGTCAGACAGTTTTCTGCTCTGCCTGATGGGTAGTTCTTTTTCTATGCGTAATGGATTGACTGCTTTTTCTGCCTGCTCGGTTTGCATGAAATGTCTTCTGCACTTCATTGACACATTTTTACTTAAACATTACACTTCAATATAATATGCTAGATGTTTGTAAGTTTTTAATTCTTCTACCCTAGCAGGATACAAGGTTTCCCTGATTTTGTCTCTTAGTGAATTGTATATGGTAAATTTCTAATGTACAGGTACTGAATATAGCAAGACAAAATAATTCATGGTGTGCTAAAATCAGACAAGTGTTAACATCTGTAAAAATGTGATTTTGCTTTAACTTGGAATTATGTTTGTGTTTAGTAACTACTTCAATGTACCAGACCATAGATTGTACCTTAATGCAGGAATAGTATGCATTCAGGCTCTGATGAACAACTATCCTTTTCTGTCTCTTCAGGCTTGTGAAGATACACTAGTATTTGCAGCATTTATTAGCTGCATAGTATACTTTGTGTGTACCTTCAATAAACTTCCTAATCCACTTGTAATATCAATCTTTATGTATCCTGGATTTGTTCCCATAGTAATTTAAAAGAAGAGTTTGAATCAGTTTAGAGCACAAGTTTATTGCATTCTGTACATAAACTGTATACAGTGAAACCTCTATCATCTTTTCCCGGATGCATCGTCCGTTTTGTTCTTTTCCGGATACATCCCATATAAAATAATGTTACATTTTCCGCTCGTTCCTCGAACTATTGTTTCATCGCATCGATCGTTCAAAAATCTTAGTCCCGGCCCACAATTTTCCCGCAATAATCGTTTCTGAGAAATTATAACGAAATTTACGCGATGTTTTTAGAACTTAAAATGCTGGGTTTTGAGATAAATTAATACCGAAAGGTGCACAATGTTTTTGGAATACACAGTAGCGGTAACCTGTTATGTCGCCCAACCAGCACATTCTTTTGGAATGAGTGTCAGCGGTGCAGGGGTGATAGTTGGAGTGAATGGCGGTGCTCATTGTCAGAAATTTTGAGTTTAATTAGGGTGCACTCATATTTCGTTCGAGCGATGCCAGATGGCATGTGCAGTGTGAATTTCTTCACAAATGCTTTTATTATAAGTACAAAGGAAAGGTGGGCGACACTTTTCATTCTGATTCATCTCGTTTCCACTGGTTCAGTGCCGTCTACAGCTACGTTTCGTTGAGTTCGGCAGTAATAGTATTTCCATTCTTCCTGTTATTGTTCCAGTCTATACTTTTGTTGTTGTTTCCGTAAATATTTTGTAATTCCTGTTACTCCTGTTAATTATTTTGTTCTTATTCCTGTACCATGTCTCGCCCGGTAAAGCAAGTCAGAACTCTTCAAGAAAGGTTAAAAATCATAGAAGAAGAGGAGAAGAATCCATTTGAAAAAAGAATCGACATTGCTAAACGCCTTGGATTAGCACCATCTACTTTAAATTCAATAGTTGCAAAGAAGAAAGACGTGATTAAATTTGGTGATTACGCGGCAGTGGACAGCGAGCTTGCCACATGCGGAGTCGACACGGTTGATGAGTTGTTTAAAGATCGTGAAGGGGGTGGGAGCGGTGAGGAAGAGGAAGACGATGAATGCGAACCCGAAGCTGTGCCAAGTTTTGCCGAAGCACAAGCTGCATTGGCAAAAGTGAAGTTCTTTTATGCGCATAATATTAGTGAACGTGACGAGGAAAACATTTTGAACTTGGAAAGGGCTCTGTTTGGCCTAAAACGTAAAGTTTCGACAAACCATTTGTCCACTAAAGACTTTTTTGGTAAAAAGAATTAATTAAAATTATATAAACTTAAAACTTAATCATAATTTCTTATATGCAACTTTTTTATAGTTGTTTATCAGTTAATAGTGATGTTCACTTCCAGATTCCATTTTTATATATTTGAAGTTGTTTTACATATGTGCGTCGTGTTTAAGTAAACATTCACCAACAAAAAAGTTTACTTAAACACAACGCACATATGTAAAACAACTTCAAATATATAAAAATGGAATCTGGAAGTGAACATCACTATTAACTGATAAACAACTATAAAAAAGTTGCATATAAGAAATTATGATTAAGTTTTAAGTTTATATAATTTTAATTAATTTTTATACACCTGAAGATGGTTCATTTAAGAACCGAAACATGTCGTAAGAAAAAGATGTTCTAAATGTAAATCGAATGTTTCGATAGGAACATTACATGATATTTTAATTATCTTAATTTTAATTTTAAATTGTGATTAGACGGACAAGAATAATTAATTAAATATATTTTCACAATATGACGCAACTATACCATCTAATGGTAAAAAGAAGTAACTTTAAAAGAGAAACATTGTTTTTTTCAAATTTTTAATGCTTTCCCGCAACTATCGTTTTCCCGTATTCATCGTTTTTATTTCCCACCCCCGCCAAAAACGATGCATCGAGGTTTCACTGTATCTGTGTACTGAAAATGTAATATAGATCCTGCTGTGTTTTGCTATTCCAATTTACTATCAGTAAAGCAACGTGTTCCAGTTTAGGAGTGGTTAAAATGTAAAGGCTGAGAATTTATTGCAGGCTGAACTGTATTATAATTATCTGTTTTTAATAATAAATGTCAGTATTCTTTTATAATGGAAATAATACTGAATTAAATTTTTATATTGAGTATCAAATGAATACCAGATAGTCTCAGACTTTCATATATCCACAAAGTGTTCAGCTGTTGGTTTATTTGCTACCAACATTTGTGAACAGGAGATTGAATTGTGCAACATTAATTTCTAGTCATAGGTTTTGCATGTATAATACTTTAATTTTGTTATATCCAGCAATTTTTTACTTATGTAGTTGTATAATCTACAACTCTGATATGGGTAGGATTTGAGGTTTTTGGGGATTCTGGATTGTAGGATCAGACATGGACTGGATTCTCTAGAATATTATGATACAGCTGTTTGAATTTTGAAAGAATTTTAAAAATTCAATTTTTTCTTGTTCCTGCTTTCAAGTTTTGTTAATGGCATTTCTTTAATTGAGTAAAAGTAATGTAGGATATGTGTTGATTTTTAATTTTGGAAAATAGTAATAAGAGTTGTTCATTAAGTTGACAACAACAAGAATGTGTGTAAAACTTTGGTTTAAGTGAAAGAAAATTCCATTACTCTTTAGGCATTTGTCCCAGAATTTCACTAGCATGCTGATACCATTCTCGTAGAAGGATGATGGGGCTACTGCTGAGAGAAAGTTCTGGAATATACAGGCTGTCCTCTTATTTATTGAATAATCTATATATTTGCCATGTCAATGAAAGTACCTGGCACGTTGAGCTACAGGGATATTTTGCTATTTGGATTTGTAAAATTGCTTAGATGCAAGTCTTCTGTTCTGTTATTAACCACTGTACTTCCCGCTGAATTATTCATGTGTTAAAATTTGTGTTGGATAACTGTTAGACTGTATATAGTAGCATGTTTGATAATGAATGAGGAACATGCTATCTTAACATTTCCTGAGACAGCCAGTAGTATTCTACATGGCAGATTTTGTGTTATTATGCATGATTATCTTGTGTTACTTGATGTAAAGGAAGTGGCGTCTAGTACATGTTTAGTTTGAGATTCTTGTGGCAGTGAAGATATTTATTGTACTTTTCCATGTTATTATGCTGTATAGTTTCTTTAGTTGGTTTCATTGGCAACCACCTAGAGGACTCTACAACATCACAATCCATAATATAATAGTTGACATGCTTAGTTTGGATACTAATCAGTGTATTGTGCATTGTATGTGAAGATTATTGTAATGCCACTGCACATTTAAAAAAATAATGTGTTAGCATTCAACATTAAATTTTGTTGTGATGTGTTTATATGTATACTGTGTTTAGATATTCTTATGTTGCAGTTCATGTTAAAGAAGTTAAATTTTATTTTGGTTGTGTCTGTATCATATAAATTTTATTGTATAATTGTGTTAATTTTATTTTATAATATACTGTAAATGTGTAACATGAATTTATATGTAGAACATGGTAATTACTGGTAATTAATGAATGTAAAAATTTGTGTTAAAATCATGAATAGATACATCTGTTAAGGTACCAGATAATATGCAGTTGGCTTTTAATATTCTCATGTAAGCTGTGAGATTTATATATTACATAAATGCCCTTTTCCATCTAAGGTTTGTGTAAGGCTCAGAAATAACGCAAGTTAAAGATTTTTTAACACTGTGTTTCTATGAGGATAAAGTTTTTCAATAATGCATATTAAATTTTGGGATTGTTTGCTACTGTTCAATTCAGAAGTTTGTCATATTCTATTAAAAAAGATTAGAACATGCAAAACTCTAATTGTACCTGTTTTTTGTATGGATGTTAAATTTGGTCTCTTGCCATAAGGGAAGGAAATAGTTTGCGGGTATTTGAGAACAAGGTGCACACAAGAATCTGTAGACCTAAGAAAAAGAATGTAGTGATGATGGCAAAATTACATAATGAGGAGTGTCATAATTTTTTACTCTTCACCATATAGTGATAAAATTGTGGAGGGTGAGATGAGTGTCTTATAGGATGTGACACCATGTAGTCTGATAGATATTGACTGATGTTTCAGAGGAGCTTACTGCTTCCTCATCAGAATGATCTTGATGGTGTAGACAGTAAGTTTCTCTGAAATGTCAGTCACTATCTACCAAACTACATGGTGCCACATCCCAGAAGACAGCCAGCCATTTTCAGTTTCTGTTAGCTTCTCAAGAAGGGCTTGTATGTCATCCTGAAGTAACTTTTGCATTGTTTTTACATTAGGCCTATAATTCTAGCAGATTGTTGTTTGTATGTACCATCAGATGCTTCACATTATTGGTGTTATAATACCCAGAATGAGTCTTTTTGAAATTGTATGTAATGTAGATGTTTCTGAATGTTGGCTTATTTTGAGATATTATGTATAAAGGACTTTAGGACATAATTAATTATTCAGATTATAAATATGTGTAATGTAATATATGTCAAGAGGAAGATAGGGTATAATGGTAGCATTTGGTGCCTTTTCCCTCTGTATAGTTTTGTATGATTTCCACTGAATTTGAAGTGTAGAATAATCAAAACACACAATGGAAAATATGAATGTCAGTTAGTCAACCATAACTATTGAACACGACTATTGTTGCTCACATTCAGTACGTTCTTATCATTCTGTTCCATATAAGAAAGAGATTGTTTTGGAAAACGTTTACCAAATCTAATACAGGTAACTTTGATGACCCCAAAATAAATAGATTCTGTCTTTATATACAATATATTTGCAATGAATTATCAAATAGCATTGAAGTTACTATATTGCAACAACATAAAATTGACCAGATCAACAGAAGTAAAACCTCTGGAGAATATGAACTCTAAATGTAGATTTCGTGACTTTTGCTTTCCACATTCACAAAGTAAGCATTGGTTAGAGTAAAACAATTTACTTTACTTTTCTTCTGTTTGAGTGAATCTATTGATGTAAAAGTTTCAGTGGAACCACGGAGAATTTGACATAAATACGTTTATACGGTAAGGAATTTTATACATTGGATTTATTCTAACTATTCGGAAACTTTAGGTTCATTATTTAATAATATTTGCTTCTTACGATTTCTGTATTCCCTCGTACGTTCAGCACTAGTTTTTGGTATTTCTTTGTGAACTTTAGGTTCATTATTTAATAATAATTGCTTCTTGCGATTTCTGTATTCCCTCGTACGTCCAGCACTAGTTTTTGGTATTTCTTTGTGAACTTTAGGTTCATTATTTAATAATAATTGCTTCTTGCGATTTCTGTATTCCCTC